CACACACACACACACACACACACACGCATAATAAATAAATAAAATTAAAAAATAAATAAATAAAACCGAAGAATGAATTTAAAAAAAAAAAAAAAAAGACCGCTACCTTCATGAAGGAAAAATGCCAAGGTTCAAAATGAAATGGCTCTCCAGAAATTGACTTCACGACCTACTGTGGCTTTCTGAAGTGCAAATATTAAAAAAATGTGAAGTTCTACCAATCCTCCCAGAGGACAGTTCCTACTCTTACAACTGGGATTCAAAGGCAGGGTCACTGAGTCATTTCCTGAAGGTAAAGGACTCTAGGATGCTAATCCTCATGACAAATGAGGAGACCCCCCCTGACCCAGGGTAACCTATTCCCACACCATCTGTTGAACTCATTTCCATGGGCTCCACATTACAAGAATTTTTTTTCCCCCTGTATTTAGGACAGGGACTATAGGGTCTCACTATGTAGATCGGACTCATAGTGATTCTCCTGTTTTCAGCCTCCCAAGCACTGGGATTACAGGCACATGCCACCACGCGGGCCCAGTCTCAATTGCTGTCTCAGAGCATCCTGGGGATGGGGCGGCATGGCACATTGGCAATCGAACCCTGGGCACTGAGCTCTGCCTAAGCAGGTGCTTTAGTCCACTGATCTGTAAGACCGGCTCTTTAATACAGGCCGGTGGCCTGGCACATCCAAAGCAAGACCTGAACACCACACCCCTATTCCCTCTGCTGAGAGAGTTGCTCCACCCACATGGACAGCGGCTGAGCTTCACATAGCCTGCCCTCCAGCTGAGGTTCAGTGGACCTCAAAAGGGAGAGGGGAAGGGGTGGGGAGATGGCTCAGTAGAATAAGCACTTGCCTGGCAAGCGCAAGGGTCTGAGTTCAATCCCTGGTTCTGGGGGGAGAAAAAAAAGGGAGAGGGGAGGACTTATTCCACAAGCTCTACAACTGAGAAATTGCAAAGTGGAGCTCAAAATCAGCTTAAAACAAGACTTTTTGAAATGAAGTCTTGATTAGTTGCCCAGGGTAGCCTTACACTCATCCTCCTCCTGCCTCTCAGCCTCATGTAGTTGGGATTACTGACGCATATTACTACACCCAGCTACCTTACTGACAATGGATTTTGAGCTACTTCTTTGAAAGCCAAACCAGGAGAGAGAAAAAAAAATGTGAAAAATTAAGACTGAAACAAATGTGCTACAATACACAGATAAGGCAGCTGAACTGTGTGTGTGGTCTGTAGGCTAGGCCCACCCATGTGCCCCTTGCTACACATACTACCAGCAGGCCACAATGCACGGCAACCTCACACACACAGAAGCTGCTGAGCACTTGTGCTTCCTATGTGTAAATCCTTACAGCCTAAAACCACAAGTCTGCTACAACATCTACAAAAATGGACTGCACAAAAGACAGAAAGCACTGCTACCATAGTCACCACGGAAGGGCAGAAGCATCTGCTGTGCGTGTGAGCAAGCTGACAGCAGCTCCAGGAAGAAGGGCAGTGGGCAATGCCAATACCCTCACTCACTCGCGCCCATCAGTACACAGCCTTATCTTCCTTACAAAGAAACGCTCGAGATCACTGTTACTGGGGAGGCATTTTCACAGAGATCACGGACACCTGCCTCCTCCTGTGTACCCCAGAACTAAAGCATAAGGTGTGGGAAAGGCAGATCTCTTGGCCACCTGCAAACCCAGAATTCCAACCCCAGTCACGCCCCACACATAAATCAGTTATAAAACACAACATAAAACAGGAGACACACCAGTGGACCGCAACAGCCACAGACATGACACAACAGGACCGACGGACGGACGGACGGAC